GGCTGCGGGAGGAGGAGGAGAAGGAGGAAGGAGGGAGGGAGGGAAGGAGGGAGGGAAGGAGGAAGGGAGGGAGAGGAGGTGGCAATGCTGCTCTGGGCAGGGGATATCACCGCTCAGCGGTCGGAGCCGGCTGCCAGCTCCATCCGAGGACGCCCGGAGGTGGCACCGGGACTTTTTGTACCTCCCGAAGACTCAGCGGTGGCTATTGGAGAGGAATTCAGAGAACAAACCGGTCTCCCCGGCCCATCTCCCCCCCGCCTAGCCTCCTCCTCCTCCTTGACAGGATATACAGATGGAGTCCTTTGGATAAAAATCAGGAGCAGGGCTTAAGGGGGTGGGGCGGGAGCCAATCTTTCTCCCGATGAGGTATTTGCATTTGAAAACATGGAGCTGGAGGAGAGAGTTTAAGATTTTTTATTATTACTATTCCCCTGCTCCCTACCCCCTACCCCCAGCTTGTCACAGAAGCCCTCTGATCAGTCGAGCTCCCGAGGTACGGAGGCAGAGTCGCGAAACTAATCAAAACTTGCAGGTCCCGTGCTTCGTAGTTTTGCCCTTTCGATCTCCTCAGCCTGCCCTACTTTCACTTGCAAAATCCGCCTTCCCCCCCGCGTCCTTTCCCGTGCCCTGGCGGGTGGTGCGGGAGTTGGGAGCCTCCAGGGCAGCAAGAGGGGCCGGGCCGGCGGGGGCCGGCGGAGGGCGGCCGGGGCACGGCGCGGCTAACATTGCATGCGTGCCTGTCCGCAGCCCGCCAAGCGCCGCTGCCCTTCCCAGCCAGCCCGTGTTTAAAGGATAAATAAATAAATAAATAAATAAATAAATAAAATCAGGTGTTATCGCAGAATAAAGGGTGGAAAGAGGGAACCGTGTCACAGGCGGTGTTTCAGCGTTGGAGATCTGTGCACCGGTAGGAGGAGGAAGGCATAGTGTTACACTGGCGTTGGTGCCTGGGAGCGTCCACGCAAAGCCCCTCACATCCAAAGCTGCCTGGGGAAACCGCGATGTGAAATGAATACCTGCTTTGCTTGGGCTGGGCTCAGCTGGGAAAGCAGCAGCACAAACTTTCTGCCTTGTTTCAGCACTGCTTTAGCCTTTTGGGACTGCAGAACAAAACAGGTCTACGACTGAAATGTGATCACCAAGAAGTCAGGAAACCTCCTGTATAAAAGGCAGAGGTTCCAAGTGTTGGCAGAGCTGCTGAACTGACATTTTCCACGGACAAAAATATTTTTAACATCTACCATTTTTAGAACAACGGATCAAATCAAGGGCAACTGTAAGAAATGAGCCTTGGCCAGTGTCTTTTGGTTTATAGCTTTATTACAAAAGCGTTCTGACCCTACCATGGACAAATTAATAATGTACATTTATAATTAATGTTAATTCCTAATGGATATTATGCTATGAAGTGTGGGGTCAACAATAAAAAGAAATGTGAGGATAAAGTCACTTTTCCTTAAAAAATAAAACGGTGCTTCAGATCATTAAGGATTTTTTTTCAATTACTTTAATTTCTGGGTTTGTTTGTAGCCTTTGAAAACAAAAATGCAGACGTGCATGCTTTTTAATGAATGTAATATGTATCCGTTAAGTATGTCTTGTCTTTCAACTTCAGTTTCAGATGTGTTTTCTAATGTTGCCCTTCCTGGCAGAGAGAGGCAATTCAGCATCCATGGCATTTGTGAACTGAAAAAGTAGTTTAAAGAGGTAACTGGAAACAATCTTCACTCTCCACATTATGTAGCATCTGAGTACATGGTTACAATTTAATAGGATGTATTCAGGGAAGTAAATCCTGAAACATGATTGCATACAGTTGCTTGAGATTGTAATTAAGGATTCTTCTTTCCTTTGTCCTCCTTCCCCCAATCCCTAATTCGTCTTTCACAAATTAATCAAAATAAGACTCTCTGTGCTGATCCTTAAAGGACAAGGTCCAAGGACAAATCATCTTTTTGCTCACTAAATACTAAAAACACCTCTGTTTTATCTTCTTTCAAATTCATTCCAAGATGCAATCAGTACTTGAAATTTCATCTTATCATACTTCATTTAGTAACTATAAACTCACTGGTGAAAATAGAACAGGCTAAAAAAATAATATTTCATTGTCTGCGAATGGGACAAAATAAAAAAAGAAGGTGGTAACAAGCTTCATAAACTTTACCTAACATCTTCAAGCTTTCTTTGCTCTTCAAAATCAAAATAGGGACTAAATAGTTTTACAATCACTTGAAATCTTTATGGAAGAAGAATTCTTTCTCCTTAATTTTGATTCTGATATCACTAATGGAGAACTGCAATAGTCAAGCATCACCCAATTTAAAAGCTTTCATAGACCTTCACAGAGTGTTTCATAATGTTCTTACTAACTTAATGGGGCACCTTCAAGGAATATGTTCCAAAAATCTAGATTCTCTCAAGTAAAACCTTTTATTAAACCTCATGTCTGTGAAGACATTTGAAGGTACTTTTACTGTGTTGAAAATTACCTAGATAGTTTTATCTGATTTTTTTTTTTAAAAGGCTTACACTGCCACATCAAAACAAAATGTATTAAGCCCTTTCATAGGAGCAAAACTCAACCCAGTAACTCCAAGCAAAAAGTGTGACTAAGCAGAACAATTTAATTTCATTGCACAGGATGAATAAAATATAAAGAACCAATTACTCTCAGTTAGTTTTGGCAGTCTACCATTTTTAGTAAAACAGGCAAATGTATATTTTTTAATACAATTTGTTCTTGACTGTTGTCTTGGCGGGTTTTTGCTAGTGAGTCAGTCCACTGCAATAGATTGGCTGGATGATTTTGGCTGTAATCCATACTTACATTGCTGTTGTCTTTCTTTCTAACACGTTTTGTAGTGCATTTAGTCCTCCTAAGAAGTGTAGGTGTACCATTTCCAGATAGAAGTCTACAGTTTGTAAAAACAAACAAACAAATTGCTGTGCCCTGGGAACAGCAGTATACATTGGACCATGCTAGACTGTGTTAGCGAGGCCCTGTAAAGATTGGTCGAAGGCATCAGAAGGTTTGTTGGCCATTGCACTTTTACAATCCTTTGACTTCTAAAAATGCAAAGGATGCGTTTTCACAACACATGTTGTGATGCTGCTCTGTGTTGCAGATCTCTGGGTAGATCTAAGTCCACAAACATATTTCACACATGTTCTCAAATATTTCTTAGATAATGACTGCTTTGGAGAGGGGGTTTTGATCCAAGGTAGAGCACTGAAAAGTTTTATAGTTCTCCTTAGCCCCTCGAGCTGCTTACAGTCTGCAGTGTTAACATTTCTATCTTTATACTCAAAGTATGCATTCTGAAAAACATAGTGATAGGTAACCGGCAACTGGATGCTGGTAACTCAGTGACTGTGTAGGCAGAAATAACTTCCATTATGCACCCAGCAACAGCTTGCAGAGTTCCTTTGATATTAGAATATATTGTATTCAAAAATAAAATGCTAACTTTTTCTTACCTTTCCTGAAAATTAATGTGAATGCTAGGCTTTCATGAAGCAAGTAGGAGAGCTTTCAGTTTAAGATCTCTTCTAAAGGAAAACATTTCTAACCATCATTGCTCCATATTTTCCCTGTGCAAGTACTAATAATACAATAAATGACCCTTAGATAAGGACTTCTGTCCAGAGATATTGTTTACAGATATCATTCCAGGAGTCTGTAATTCTGATGTGCACTTCTTACCCATACATATGGTTACATCAACTCTAATTCAACTCTAGAACCGAGCATTGATGTCTTCAATCTTTGTTTATTCCCATTTTTACAAATAGCAAAGGGAAAACCAGAAAGCCTGTTGAAATTAAGTAAACTTACTGATATTCTCCCAATTGTATTCTGTATATGAATTCTTCTTTATGTATTCACAACCACACATTCCATTTAGGAGTAGTACCTTATTAATTCAACATTATCATCATGGCTCCACCTGTTCCTCTCTAGTTCTTCTACAACTTCTCTTGAGCCTCTACAGCCTTTTGATGGCATATTGGGCCCACATATACTGTGAAATCTAGTCAACTCATATATATGTACTAGAATGATTTTCTTCTCTGGAAATAAAACTACTTAAATATAAGAGAATTTAACTGTAAAAGTAAGAAGAAGTTAAT